ATGCATGTGCGATATCCGTATTTATTATATACATATACTGAGATTTAAGCACCAAAAAATTCATTGGATAAAAATCGTCCCTTAACAAGTTAGAACGCTCCTTATTGGTCGTACGATTTTTTTCACTAGTGAAAAATATTGTACAGCCAATCAAAGGTCAGATATGATGTTTTTCACTAATGAAGAAAATCGTGTCGGTTTTTACTGTGTGATTTGAGAAAATGCGACTAGTCAATCAGCGCAAAGCTCACAAGCTCTGGGTGATTGATTTGCGACCAGTCCTGCATATGAATTCGCCAAGGTTGTAAGCCAGTGAGCCCGTGCATCCCAAATCCTACGGGAGGATTTGCACAGCAAAACTCGACCCTCGACCCAGTGGAGTAGGCTGCATGTTATTTTATTCTATCCTAATAATTTTTTTTTAGAGTTAAATATGAAGATAATTCCCCATTTTAATTTCGCCGGTTTCTTAGTATTGGTCTCCATAGCAATAAGTACGTGTGATGGGGTTGCTGGCACTAAGCACACTGCCAGAAYCTTGTTCACCGGTGTTAGCTGTTTCAACCTGCCACGACGAGGACGTATGTAGGGATGGACTTTGGTAGGCAAATAAAAAGTTAATAGTCGACACATTTTAAAAGTTAAAAGTTAAAAGTTAAAAAAAAAGTTAAAAAAAAGTTTAAAGTTTAAAAGTTTAAAGTTAAAAGTTCCCACTGCTTGTCACAGCATTGTCTTTAGGGTAGAAGCTGGAGACTCGTTTCGAGTGTGTCGATCATTCGAGATCCAATTTCCCTCCCCCCAGTCGCAGATTGTCAAAACCAAAGAAGGGCGAATGTAAATTGGTAGCAAACATTAATTGACATCTGTCTAATCATCCAAATGATAATACATTATTTACTAATTACTAGTAGAAACTTAATAATTACATGTAATTAATAATTAAATTTCATTCCATACAGCAAACTGTTTATAGTCGAAAGGACTGTAAACAGTCAGGTTGGCTTAGATCATGCACACATAAATATTCACACGACGGCATAGATGGAGGTAACGGTACGGATGGTGGATATGCTGGTAAATCAGGTTAGTAATAATAGAAAAACTATGCAATACCTAATAGCGGAGCTCCGATAGCTAAATACTAAATACAACTAGAAATATAACTATTTTGTTTGTGCAGTTGCACGGATTAAGTGCGATCACTCTAGTAACTTTTTACATTTACTTTCATGGACATATATAGAGTCATTTTCTTTGATATATTGAGTATTTTGGCCTCCCAAAACTTTGATATTAATTTCATGTTGATTTCATTTGGTCTTGACGCATAATCAGCTAGCTTGTATTGTCTGTAAAACTAGTTTCGTTTGATTGAAAACCTCCTCAGTTACAAGACTTGTCTAACACTCGTTGTATACTTTATTTTAAAACATGCATTCACGCTCATTTTCATCATCCGTCTGTTAAACAATTACTACTAGTCAGTACTAGTTTAACTGTAGCTATTAGGTGTACTAGGCTACCAAAAGTCAAAAATCAAAACCGTTTTGGCCTAATTTGTTTGTCGCATGTCATAAGTTAAGCTATTTGGAGCTAATAGGGAGTAATAGTATTTTTAAATACTATTAAAATAGTACAATTTCTATTTCACAGACGGATGAAAATGACTCTACTGTATGCACTTTATCACAGCAAGCTATACTGATATATAATACAGAACAAACACTAAAACTGTGCAACATAAATACCACTAATTATTGCTAAATTATGCTAATTTTGTTGTTTTCTNTAAATATTCACACGACGGCATAGATGGAGGTAACGGTACGGATGGTGGATATGCTGGTAAATCAGGTTAGTAATAATAGAAAAACTATGCAATACCTAATAGCGGAGCTCCGATAGCTAAATACTAAATACAACTAGAAATATAACTATTTTGTTTGTGCAGTTGCACGGATTAAGTGCGATCACTCTAGTAACTTTCTACATTTACTTTCATGGACATATATAGAGTCATTTTCTTTGATATATTGAGTATTTTGGCCTCCCAAAACTTTGATATTAATTTCATGTTGATTTCATTTGGTCTTGACGCATAATCAGCTAGCTTGTATTGTCTGTAAAACTAGTTTCGTTTGATTGAAAACCTCCTCAGTTACAAGACTTGTCTAACACTCGTTGTATACTTTATTTTAAAACATGCATTCACGCTCATTTTCATCATCCGTCTGTTAAACAATTACTACTAGTCAGTACTAGTTTAACTGTAGCTATTAGGTGTACTAGGCTACCAAAAGTCAAAAATCAAAACCGTTTTGGCCTAATTTGTTTGTCGCATGTCATAAGTTAAGCTATTTGGAGCTAATAGGGAGTAATAGTATTTTTAAATACTATTAAAATAGTACAATTTCTATTTCACAGACGGATGAAAATGACTCTACTGTATGCACTTTATCACAGCAAGCTATACTGATATATAATACAGAACAAACACTAAAACTGTGCAACATAAATACCACTAATTACTGCTAAATTATGCTAATTTTGTTGTTTTCTATTGTTTAATTGACGTTATTTTTTTATTTTTTTATTGTTTCGAAAAACAAAACATTAGCAATTTTTGATAGTAATTAAACAATTTACAACGGTGATGAGCACCATAATAGATGTGGTACTAAGAATGTTGAAACATTATACATTATATATTACAAAACCAAAAAGAAAGACAAAACTAACAAAAAGAAGAGAACATAGAGGAAGAGAGTCAAACTTTCAGAATTTTGAATAGAAAAAAAAAAATGATAGATATTTATTTTATTAATATTTTTAAAAGAGTCGTTTTTCTATTAATTTTAGTGACAAGATCATTACTCGAATTGCGGCATCGGACTCAGGATCACTGGTCCGATTCTGATCGACTCGCGCAYTTCTAARCAATCATTTGTTCTTTCTTTGTTCTTTTTAAGTGAAATATATAATGTTTACGACATGAGCGGCCGTGTTTTATGGGATTTTACAATTGTAAAGCCCACGGGGTTTACAAACGGGGTTTTGAAAAGCTGTCCGTAAGTAGAACTGTACGCTTACCGGAGCGTCCGTAAGTAGAGATTGAACTTTATTTTACAAACAAGGTCATAATGGCGGCGTCCAAACGATACTTCTTTCTTTCTTTCTAAAATACAAAGTGACCTTCTTTCTTTTAAATTCTTATAGAGTATAATGCGAATGTAATATGAATGMTAAATGTTCGTTGCAATGATAAAAATATCCAGAGGAAACTGTGRGAAAAGATTATACGCAGAATCTATTAAATCAAAGCAGGTAGGCATTCTGTCTGCGCATGCGTGTGTCACGAAAGCATCTTCGAGTATGGGCGCTATTTTCTTTGGAACATGTTCTTTTTCGGGTTTTTGCTAGACTAGATCGCAAGGTTTAACACTTTGAATTGTAATAATTTCAATTRGAACSGAGAGTRTACACGWGTGACTACACTGGCTATTCTTGATGTATTCCTAGGCTTTATATTTCGGTAGACATATTCCTTGAAATGATCTGAAAATAACGAAATTCATTGAACATATGGCTGTCTTCGTTTTGATTTTGCCTGCTGTTCAATTCAGATTTTCTACCTTACAAGATWTTGAGGCGAGTATTTATGHAWTGAAGTTYCAATGTTGACAATATCAAWYTTTACTTCAGTGCCGATCACCCTTTGCTAATGCTTGTGAAAATTAAAGCAGTGCTGCTATTTGACCAACTTCAGCGTCATTTAACACGAAAATTTTACCTTCGCCCGTGAATGAAAACATCACTGAGTGACGGGCTCATATCAGTGTGGTTATTACCACTAATCTTGTTTTTTCGCGCGCGTGCGCAGACAGAATGCCTACATGCTTAAAGGGCATACTCGTCCCCAGTRCACCTCGGTCGTCCCTTCTCCCTTCGTTAGCACTGGTAACAGCCGTTTGAGGCTCGATGCTGATTGGCTAGAAAGTTCGAGCATGCGCGATTTTCGCCGTTCATTCAACCGTCTCTCCTCGCTCTTGATTGGTCGATTTATAAGGATGCTCGGAGMTTTTTAGATGGAAACCTAGTGCGCATCAATCCAAATAAACAAAGCTGACCTTTTCCTAACGGGCTCAGGTCGAATTTCAAAATGGCGAATGAGTCTTGTAGTCTGTCTGAAGCTGTTAACWAAGCCAAATTACGACTAAATATTTATTTTAACATTCGTGCGGAACAGGAAAATGTAATCAGAGTTATTGCTCACGAAAAAAAGACTGCATTTGTGTTCTGTCTTCCGGATTTGGAAATCTTTAGCCAGTGGTAAGTCACACAAATGAACAGCTTCCATGTCTGTATGATCCATCCACTTTAAAGTAGATGTATAGGAGTTTAAACGAGCGAAGGTTGAAAGAACTACCTAGTCGTGGCTTTGTTTACAGCTTCGGAAAACTCATCCGGCATTTTGAAATTGGACCTGAGCCCGTTAGGAAAAGGTCAGYTTTGTTTATTTGGCTTTATGCGCACTAGGTTTCCATCTAAAAAGTTCCGAGCATCCTTATAAATCGACCAATCAAGAGCGAGGAGAGACGGTTGAATGTACGGCGAAAATCGCGCATGTTTGAACTTTCTAGCCAATCAGCATCGAGCCTCAAACGGCTGTTACCAGTGCTAACGAAGGGAGAAGGGACGACCGAGGTGCACTGGGGACGAATATGCTTAAAGGGCTGATTGGACGAAAATTGCGAAACATTAGAAAAGACTTTGAAATCAAATAGACCTATCCATATGGGTCTAATAATCATGAAGCAACAGATTTCAAGAAGATATAGACCCCTTGCATGTGACGTCAAAGAAGCTTCATCTGGAGGAGAAAACAAAAGATTTTTGCCCTCTTGGGAACTAGAATCTATTGTTTTGTCCTCCAGTTGGAGATGCATTCCCACGAACTGCGAAGGTTCTATTGATACAAATCCTTAATAATTTGGGCAAAAAATGTTGGAGTAGATGACGTCATTTATAACACCATCCTTTTGTTCTTCCATCTTTTGAAACACAATTTATATGATGTGGGATAATTCCAAAACAAATATTTTTCCGCAGTTGCTTTTAATTGATATAAATGAGTCATATATTTGTATTGCTTGAAGTTTTGAAWTAAGGYAATTTTCATGCAARTAGCAATTTAAATCAATCAATGCGAATATCAGCAATAAGCGACTTGCCTTCGAACAGGTAATGGTGGAAATGCTGGGCGGATAAGAATCTTCATCAATAAACAAAGAGGGAACATAAAGCTAAAAACCTGTCGTGGAAATGGAGGGGAAGAATCTGTTAATGGGATTGGTGGAGCTGGTAAGTTCTTACATCTAATGAAATTTTATACGATTTTCGAATATTGCATGATCACCCCTAATATTGGTCGAAAGCAATAAAGTTATGAAATTCACACGTTGCTTTAAGAGTAATCATGTTCTATTTAATTTTTTTTTTTAAACTTTCAATACTTCGATTGAATYCAGGATTGTTATTACAAATCAGCTTAATAATTTAGTTAGAGATTGTCTTTTTAATATACTTATGTTTGGAAATTTTCAAATTTTTTTTGGTTTTCAATAAGTGATATGTTCAAAGTTAAGTGTATTTTTTTTTCCTGAAGAGCCTCTTTGGATACTTTTCTTTCTTTTAGGGGTTCCCCCGACATATGTGCACTTCCATATCAACTAACCTGACATTGTCCAATGTCTGATCTAAGTTGTACGTCGGAAGCGCCAATATGAAATCTTCTGTCTGTCTGTCKATATGTCTTATGGAATTTTACCTTAAATGTTCTTTTTTTAGGAGGTGGTGGTGGGAAAGGAGGTCATGGAGTAGAATGTGATATCGAATATTTACCAGGACAACCAGGAGATTCACCTATTAATAGAGGAAGCACAATCTGCATACTGAAACGCGAAATCAGCTATTCCGACGGGAAAAAAGGAAAAGATGGAAGCAACGGAATGAGTTAAGCATTTTTCAATATGTATATTATATAGAGGATATCCCCCGGGCGCGCGCAGATACGGATGTCGGGTTTTTGTCTTCGAGTTTTGAAGATCTCTCACGCGCGATTGAGCATAAGGGACTGTGCAATGATTACCAGGAAGGGGGTAGGGGAGAAGGGGCGTAAAACTAGAGGGGGCGCATTACATAAAATTGATGCCAAGATAGGGGGGCTCAAAGTAAAATTCCCTAATTAACAGGGGGGATCTTTTAAAAGTTTTATTCAAAATTTTCATTATTTTCTTTATCTTAAATCAACGTAATAACAAGCACACTGTAAAAAATGACAAAAACAACTTTAACTGACAATTAATATGATATTGATATTACCTTTTGATATCAGTTTTAAGAAAGATTTATCAACAACAACACTGATCATTTCCAATCTGCTAAATAAAGCTTAGGTTATCTTTTTTTTTATGAAAAATCCATTATGAAACGAAGACTAGTTGATGTGGGATTGAAATTGACCAAGATATGATTTTTTTTAACTATTGATTTTTTCAATTTTATGACATAAATTGAAGATGTAGTTTCAGTCACATAAATTGAACATGTAGAAGCTGAAAACATATTGATGATTTATTAGGCATAACAAGCACAAGTAACATCAAAGTCGCTTTTGACCATAAAAAGGTTACATAAGCCTTTGTTGGACCTTGAAAACCTTTGCAATAGGAACAAATCCATACAAGAACAGTTATTAGCAGAACAGACCCCGTCAGCTCCTGAAAGTTGCTGTCTTTACACTTACAATCGTGGACATAAATGTTGACAATTTTTACGCACGCACGAAATTTCTAACATTCTTCGTCGATAAAACCTTACTCTTGCCCCCCCTTCCCCCAATACAATGTTGTGTGGCTTTCTTTTCATTGGTTGTCCATTCATTAACCCCTGCATGCAACATTGATGCGGGAGGGGAGGGAGGGAAGGGGAATATTTTCAGTTTATGCACACGATACAGTATTTTTAATGCTCCAGCGAAAAATTGTCAAGTATTTATGTCCACGATTGT